CAGAGCATCCAGTCTAGATATCAATACCGAACGAAACTTATATATCATTTTCTGTTTGCATTTTATATTTTACTGTAGGTTGTAACAAGCACAGATCAATGATCTGTGCTAACAAAGCATAACATGGCAGTTCAATTTTGTTATTTTGAATGAAATAAAGACGCAAAATATTAGAAAGAGACATAAAATAGCTGCTTTCCAATTGTATTGTTCTTCTGTTCTTTAAATGCTCCAAACTTATTGGAACACATGTAGGAGAGAAATACATAAGTATTTGAATATAAAATTTCACTTATTAAAACACAGTGGCGCGAATAATAACAAAATAATAATTCATGACTAAATAATCTTCCAAATATTAAAAATTTTTATTTTAGATAGTGTGGGAACAGGTGAGAGTTGAGAGTATAAAACTCGTCAGTACAAGGTGTTGTATCAGAGGGTAAGGGAAAACAAACAAGAACACTTTATGTTTCAGCTTATTGGAACGCAAAAAGCTAGTCTGAAGTCTGAAGTGTTCTTGAAGTGCTTCGAAGTACATTTTTTATCGATTGGAAATAAGCAGCTAATAAATAGAAGCTGAAAAGTTAGGCTGGCACCAGTGGCACCCCATGAATGAGTTATTGTAACCACGTGACCATCAAGATTTCCAAATCCAAACTTTCATTCGATTTGACCTTGATGGAATGTCAAGTCGCCCTATACTGATCACATATTATGTTCTGTGATACTGATACAAAATTGGATGTTGATGGTCACGTAGTTACAAGGATTCGTTATCACGCATGCATGTGGTTCCAGCCTAAGCCTGTACCCATGATGTATGTATCCAGAATTGTGAAATTAGGACTTGCCTAAAATTATAAAAATGATTCGAATTATGTTTAATTATAATCAACAGTTCTAAATCACCCTGTATAGTCAACTATACAGGGTGATTTAGAACATATCCGAAAAAAATGTTTGAATGGAAAGGGGACTCTTACAAATACAAATTTGTAAAAAAAATCAAAAAGGCCAGTTCGAAATTGATTTAAAAATACACTTCTGCACGGCACTGGAAACTGGTTCACTGTAAAGCCGGGTCTAGACGCTAGGTTTTACACAACGTTTTACCTGTGCAGACATAAAATGGAATATGAAAGCGTTGCAAATTAAAAGTGTCCACAATGCAGATATGTCTGTATTCATTTACTCAGTTTTCGCGGAATGAAACCATGGGAGAAGTACCTATTGCTCTGGTCAATTTTTGTATAAGAAAGAAAAAAATTTATATTTTTATTTAATATTATATTTAAAAATAATTGTCAACGTATACTCGTATATAGTCCGGTGTAATGTGGGTAGCTATTAAATTGTTTAGAATAAATAACTATTTTCAATTTTCAATATTAAAATATTATTCTGTTACCCCCTGTATCTTTACATTAATTATAAATAATCAAGGACCGGATATATGTTAATTATGATCGAGCGAAATGAATCAATTGTCTTATGTTTATAAATTTACCTTACTCCAATCTCAAGTCCCGACGACTTTGTACCTGCCAGCCGATCTGGGCCGAACGACCCTCGATCGCATACTACTGAAGACCGCAAGCGGGCGTTCCGACGTCCGGCGTCTCGGGCGTCCGTCGGTATCAACTGTCGCCTTACCTGGCGAGTGGTGAGCTTGGTCGTAAATCAGAGACCGCATCCAAAAAACAAGTAGGTAAACAACAGTGGCGTATTTACAATAAATTACATTTAAAATAAATAGTTTATGATAATAAAGGGATTTTTGTAGGAACAAGGGTGCCAGACGTGAACTGATCAGTTCATAATGCATAAAGAATTTATTCAATTTCTAAACCCTTTAAAACCGTATTACACTGGATCCTTTGACAGGCAATGATTTATTACTTTTCATATTTTAAAAATTTCTTAAGAAATTAATAAAATTTTATAACACCTATTTTATATCAGCAAATTCAACTGCTTTTGCCGCTATTATTATTATTAATTAATGAAATTAATTTGTGGTTTTAATTAATAAAATAATTTGACATACTCGATACATGTTATACAACTGTTCAAAATTTTGTCCACCGACGCGTAAAGATATTTGGAGTCGTCGTACCCAGTTTCTACGAACTAACATAAATGTTGTTCTGCTTCACCATAACACATACACTTCACTATAACAGAAATGTTGTCTTGCTTCAGGCTTCACCATAAATGGAAACAATATCCACCAACTTGGAGTTGCTACACACATAAGCCATTTTTGACAGTTGGAAAAGTAATGTAATGCCTACTGAAATCGTATTTCAGTATTCGGAATCGCCTGGGGCCATGTGGAGAGAGTGAATTGCATACAGAGCACAACACTATATAGAGACTAAATAAGCCCAGCGATGTAAGGGGTGTAAATGCTACAACTTCAATAATTTTTTTTTCTTAGAAACTGATTTTACAAAAATTTTTTTTACGATATTGACCCATTTTTCATGACGCCTCTATTCTCAAATTTTTTCAAAAAGTTGTGAATCTTTTGTCTTCAATACTTCCTAGTAGATTTTGAAAAAAATTTCATTAATCTGTATAAAAAAAAGATGCAGCTAGTCATAAATTATTGTCAACTGGATCGTCATACTAAAAGAGCACCTTACTGTTGTTAAAATTATGTTCCAAAAAATTTTTAGGTGTTCTGGTTATACTGAAAAAATAAATAAGACTAATTATATTATCTTTTAAAGAAAATCGGACGTTACATATTTACTATTAATTTTATTACACAACTTCAGAATGGGTTAGCTTATTAAAACCCAAAAATATAAATCATCGGAAAATATGGGAGGGTGTTCTATAAGTAAAAAATTAAACATACATACGAAATAAGTGACCATTTATTGAATCTAAAGAACATTATAAATACAGTAACGAAATACATATTAAAAAGAAAACACGAAATTCAGTTAACAAATTTATTAAATTCCACACATGAAAATATTTAAGAAAATAATCACTATGTTACCACGTTCTACATTTTATTAAAAATATCAGCACTCCTATGTAATATGATTATAACGGCATTGTATAGCTTATTTAAATGCTACTCCTTTAAAATATAAATATTCGTGAGTTATTGTTGAAAATGAAAGAAAAAGAATGAAACGAAAGAGTACCTGTGTTGTTTTTTCCCCAGAAAATATAATTTACAAGATCACATTTCCTTGAATTACCCAGCTGGATAAGAGTGCACACATTTTATAGTCATTCAATGCCCTAACAGAGTGCAGTTAAACTGTAAACACTCAACACAAATTGTATTTTACGTAAGGAACTTCCACATCGTTACCGTCCGCATCGTTACAACACAGTTCGAATACAAGGGCCTTTACGTGGGGTTCGATTCGCTTCTTCGATACACGTTTAACAACTTCGGACATGGTGAGACCCAAACGTTCTTGAGCTTTGGCCTTAGCCATAAAGAATGAGTACAACATACAGACTCCTTGAGAAAGCATAGTGATCTCCAAATTGTGTCTTTCTTTGAAGTATTGTAAAAATTCGCTGAGTGTCATTTCACCCTGTACTTCAAAGCGGTCCCATAAAGTCCACTCGTTGCCGCAATATTCCATTTTAGGCGCAGCGATCGGTTCGGAAAATCCGAAGAATGGAAGGGCTAGATTAACAAATCCATTCTTGAACGGTTCCAGACTCTTCATGCTTCGGGCAAGCTTGAATAGTTCAAGACATATAAGACCTGCGACCACAGAAGTGGTAGTTGCAATAGCCGGAATAATTTTTCCTGTAACAAATGGTTAACTTTAAATATAGATTCCTAAACAATTATATTGGACAAACAAAACAATACAGAATTAGTTCTCATAAAATATCTTATAATCCTAAACATATGAAAAAATGAGAACAAATTGCATTAGCATCTCAGCTATAATTTTAATTTTAATGATCGATCGATTTAAATTTTCGACAATGATTTTAATTATTGAAAATGACTGATCAGCAAAATAAAACAAAAAGTTAGATACATATAATTTAAGTAAAATTTACATTATCGTATTATTAACTAGATCAAATGGGAATTAAATTATAAGACCCAGCAGCTCCAGACCTAGGTACATATTTTAATATTTATTTTCAAGACGACGACTAAACATGTTAAAGTTTCTCATACAAAAATGTTATTATGAAAATTAATCAAATATTTTCGTTAAAATTGATTCAATTCATTACATGATTAATTTAATTTTATGATGGTTTTATCTCACAAGGAAAGCTGCTACCTATCCCTTTTTTAAATACATTTTTGAATCTTTTTTTTTTATTGTATAAGTTTCTCCAACAATTTAATTAATAATTTTAATGTTTGCCTTTTTTTGTTAAATATTCTAATATGTTTTTAATGTTCTTATAATATGTTCTGCAAATATTTTCTTATCTTTTTAATATTATTGATAGCACTGAAGATTTTAAATAAAATTGAAACGTTTTAGTCAGAAAATCAAGACCGTTATTTCCTTGCCCTACTCACACTATACAGGCTGTTACAAATTCTCACTACAGGGATCTCAGAAACGGTAAGAAATACGAAGTAGCTTAAATGGGGGCAAAGTTGCATAATAAGGGTACCAACATTATGCCTCTAAAAAATCAAGGCTAACATGATTAATTGACGAAATTTTGGAAATCCATTTTCGTTTCATTTCAGCCTAGTTTGAGGTGATATTGAAAAAAGAAGAACACTTTCTCATGACAACTTTTTGCCCTCTATCGAAGGGCGTAATCAATTTTTATGTGTAACGTTTCGTCTCTCCAGGACCATCATCAACATAATTTTTTAAATACGACCCCGGACATTTTATTACATTTTTTGCAAGTCTTCATGGTCCCCAATACTGTACTGCCTCAGCCCGAACCAGATTCAAACGTTTTGTCTCGAAAAATTCATCTTCAGTGTATTTGTTCCAAATTTATCTAAATTTTTTATTTAGATTTCCATGTTTATTGGCACTTTAAGTGTCATTAGACCCTGTGAAATCCACCTAATTATTTAAACTATTACCATCACATGTTACAATAAAACATTAGTTTTAATCTCCATCACTTGGTCATGCATAATTCGGTAAATTGTTGCGTCAAAATTAAAAAATTATTACAATTTTAATTTCATTATGACAAATTAATTCTTAATTAACGCATATGAACAACCAAAACTCCAAATGAATATTATACTTTAAAAAATTACAATAAATGTTCAAAAAAGTTTCCGTTTTGAAACAGAAATCTAAAAAAAAATTAAATAAATTTGGAACGAGTACATTGAACATGAATTTTTCGAGACAAAACGTCTGAATCTGGTTCGGACTGAGACAGTAAAGTATTAGAGGTCATGGAGACTTATTCCTAATAATACTATGTTGCAATATTAAAAACTTTGAACATTCCCTCCTATAAGCGAGGTATTATTACAACTGTTGAAAAGTAAACCAAAAAATAAATCATCATTGGGTTCTGACGAGGTTCCACCATCTCTTGATATTAAAGTGTTAAATGTAATACTAAGACCACTTATGGTTGTTTTTCCAGTTTTTGTAATTAGGTAAAATAGTACCTATATATGAAAAGAACGATCCAGTTATTTCCAATCCAAAAACTGGAACATTGTTGCCGTATGTTCTAGTTTTCTCTTATTTTTGAATATGCTTATTTGAATCGTCTTACGCCTTTCTTAGATAGAAATTATATTACAGCTAGTCAGTATGGTTTTTACCCCCAAACACGGCTATTTGCATTTTATGAAAAAATTATCGAATGCATTGAAAAAGTATGTGACTGTAAAAATTATATGCATGTGATATAAGACCTTTCATTGCACGACTGGTACTGGTAACGAAAAATCTCTAAATCATAGCATCACTAATATTAATGCTTTGTTTACAATGAACAAGGACAAACCGTTACGTCTACACTCGAGATAATGCAATCCCTGATTGGTTGGACATAATCTCGTGGAAAATTACACCAATTACAACTGGTGAAACAGAATGTTATCTTGATCTTATTGTAATTTTTAATTTCTCCCAAAATTGCCAACATGAAAGAAATAAAATTACTATTCCAAACATAATTACTGGTCACATGGCTTGTAATCATTTATGAAAGCTCTGTATAAATATAAAATTTCAATTAATTCACCGACACATTAAGTAATCATCCATGCAAATAAACATTGCAATTGTCCATCTTATACTTACACCTTGTATGAAATTAAGTATAATATAAAATTAATTTTACCTGCAATTAATTTGGACTTATGCCGATCTGCTGCTGGAATTTTATAATTAGCGGCCCTAAGATTTGAGGAGGCCACAATAAAGTCCATATGGAAATTAGTATCATCGTCTTTTTCAAATTCTAACGGGGTAAGTTGTAACCCGTTAAGTTCAGCAACCGATGGCAATTCATTTCTTATTTGAGTTAAACGATCCAAATCGACATTATTGCCATTCATTGCCATTTGGGAATCTGTAACTGCTATTTTCACACCAGACTTTGGAATAAACTCTGGTATCTGCAACAAATATTTAATAAATCAAAATTTTTTTTATTAAAAGTTTTGAATGCTGATTATTTAATTAAGATTAATGGAGATCTCAGGTAAATAACATACAACTAAAAAAAAACAATTGATTACATTTCGGCGATATAATTCAATGTTTTTTTTTTAACAATATATTTTGTATATTTGTTATTTTGGAATCAATACTTTTTTTAAATACAATATATTCACGTCATATACAGAGTGTGCCATTTAACACTTCTGCTGCCAATATCTCCGAAATGAAGAAATTTATTTTAGTTTCAAAAACTGGGGTTGTTAGGTCCCTCAAATAGCTTCAAATTGGAGTTAGAATTGTTAGAATTTCTGTATAGATGGCGTAGCGATACTAAAAAAATGTTTGTTCCCTAGAACGAGGAAATGCAGTCCATCTGAAAGATCGTCAAATTTTGAGTAATTTTTGTAATATAACGTTTTCCCTATATTTACTTGTTTTCGAGATATGTCGACTTCAATAAGCAATGTATGATATAATAAGAAAATCTATTATTTTATTTAAATCACACCGAGACAAAATATTCTTTTAAAATATTGTTATAATGGCATTATTCACATCACATACTAACAAACAATAAATTATAAAAAAAATTAATGATCAACAAAAAAAAAATTGTACAATGGTAAACCTTATGAGGGTCAGAGATGAACCGCATTTTATCAAAGGTTATTAAAAAATGCAGTCATAGGTGGCTCATGTCATTTGTTTAAAATAAAACAAGGCAGATGACACATATTAGTTTTCCAATAATTACAGTTTTATCAGTTTGCGTCTTTCAATTTAACTATACTGGTTATACGATTTACCATTGTACAATTTTTTTTCTGTAGTTGATAATTCATTTTTTTTATAATTTATTGTTTGTTAGTTGGTATGTGGTGTGAATAAAGTCATTATAACAATACTTCAAAAGAATATTTTGTCTTGGTGTGATTTAGATAAAATAATAGATTTTCCTGTTTAGCATACATTGCATATTGAAGTCGACATATCTCGAAAACAAGTGAATATAGAGAAAAATTTTATATTACAAAAATTACTCAAAACTTAACGATCTTTCAGATGGACTGCATTTACATGTTCCAGGGATCAAAAATTTTTTTAGTGTCACCACGCCATCTATACAGAAAGATTTGAACTAACAGTTCTAACTCCAATTTGAAGCTATTCAAGGGACCTAACAACCCCAGTTTCGCAACGAAAATAAATTTCTTCATTTCGGAGATATTGGCAGCGGGAGTGTTAAACGGCACACCCTTTATATTGATTTCACAATACTTTGGTTTATTTACTTACTTTCCATAACAAATAAAGGTTAACATTGTCACGGAACCAGTGCATAATTACTACTTTAAATTTACTAACCAGATATTAATTTTTTTCAATAAGATGAAATGCATTTTATACTATCCTGTTCCAGATAGAACAATACTTTTAACAATAAACAACAAGACAACAAACTCTCGACTTACCTCCACTTTATTAACAACATCAGCAATATAAGCTCGGTCTCTATTCACTGGGATCCCATATACAGTAGCTTTTAAGTTCGCCGCAGCGACGATATAATCTAGATGAAGAGGATTATTTACATCGAACGTTAACGGTTCAGGGCAACGTTTGGGTCCCGACCAGAATAACTGCCCTGTACTTGTCAATTGATCCGGAGGAAAATTAAACAAAAGTTGCCTGATTTGGTTGGAATATTGCTCTTGCCAATGGTTTCGAGCCCATACAATGCAATGTTCAAGTGATTTGGGTCTCTCATCCACCAGGGCACATTTTACAGAATCCAGAACTTCTACTGGTTGTACACCGGGTAATTTTAGTGTACGCTCTATAAAATCTGGATCTGTTATGTACTGCGATGCATTCTCAGCATTTTGTTTGAAAAGCCCTTCGAAACTGTCACGGGCCCATTGTAATGTATGCTCTATGGCGTTGGGGAAATTTTTAAGCGTGCAAATGGGAATACTCTTCTCTGGGGGATCTTGAGATGAACTGTAAGATTCCGAGAGGAAAGGCACTACCACTTGGATATTACCTTTAGTTCCCAATGTTCCCGATTCTAGTAGGGGCTTCCGATAATATACGCATCTTCGATCCATATAAATTCTGGCATCAACGTTATCTAGAGCATTTGCTACACCATCGAGAGCCTCAAAGAAATCGTCATCATAAACATTTTCAGTTTCAGGTCCAACACGATTTTCATGAGCAACTATGTTTACTTCTGGGTTCATTTTCTTAATGACCTGGTAAAAATAAATTGAAAATAATAAAAAAAAGAAATCCAAAGCATTAAACTGTAATGAAAAACATTCATTAACATTTTTATAATTATTTGACTTATGAGAACCTGTTGGGAGTAGGTGTTTTTAAATGTCACAGTACCATACATAGCTTGTATTAATTTAATTTGGTGGGTCCCCAATTAAAAAGAAACAAAAACAGATCGTATTAATCTACACCTCATTCTCTTAATGTTGAGGATAATAATTGATAAAATCACATATCCATATTTATAAATAATGTTCACAAACAAGAGCTCATACTGATTAGTTTTTGTAACTATTACAAGCAAGGAACATGATGTTAACCTCAAATACTTAAAGCAATAGTATTCAATCAGGATACGCACATCTCTAGGGGCATGTGGAGACATCTTAAAAGGGAACATAGAGACGAAAAAAGTTACGTTAATAAATAAACAAATAATTCTCTTAGTTTTCAGCATTTCACAATTTTATATAATTTTTTATTCGTTCTTTAAAAAAATAAAAATAGCGAGCAGCTAGTTTAATTCAGAATTGTTCTTATTTTGCACTTACTAATGTTCAGCCATGTACTAAAGATTTGTATGCTACTAAGCAAGCTCAAATTTTTCATTTACCATTAACCAATCTGCGTCTAAATTTCAATGTATTATTGTACTAATGGTAATATAGGCACTCGGGCACAAAAATAAATAATTAAAAAATAATCCATATCCGGTCTAATCCTAATCACTCTAACTAAAAGTATACTTAATCCGATTATACTAAGATTTAGTACTTGAATATAAACATTTTTTGAAGGGGATCCCGAAAGAAAAAGGTTGAATACCACTGCTTTAAAGTATGTCATTATTCAATTTTCATGGATCAAAAAGATCCAAAAGTTGAAAAATAAGAATTTGTTACCAAAGATGAGATACCTTAAAGTACAAAAAAGTTATGTCGTTTTTAACACATTCAATCTACTGCAGCTAGCGCCCTCTATGAACTTTAACCAAAATGTGAACAGATTTCAGTTCCTTTACTCAAAGAACTCCAATCCCCAAAATTTTGTGAGGATATTTGCATCTCTGTTAAGGAATAAATTTAAAAAAACTGAAATATTTTACATTTAACACCCTGTATCTTTTTAATTATCAACTTTTGGACTAAGGTAAGTTCGGCAAAATCGCAATATATTTACTTGGGGAATCTACCCATGAATTTTGGCTCATTACCTCGGGACCACCCTGTATATTCAAATGAATTGTATTCTTAAAAGTCTGTTCTAGGGTATAAAAAATAATTTCAAATACAAAATCCTGAATTTTTCTTTAATGCATATCCATATTAAATCCATCCATAGCCAGCTATTTTTTTTGTTTTTTTTTAAACTGGCATTGTGAAATATTAATTTGAATGCTTGCTTATGTTAAGAATATTTTTCAGGATATAATTTGTTTCTTCGTTTACGCATGTGTCCCTAAATTATGCGTATACTACTTTTCACACACGTTTTGAGTGCGAAATTTTCATTTCGACTAAAAAATGTTCTTGCGAGACATTTATGTGGTAAATAAATTATAGTTTTAGTACCTGAAACTAATTCTCTGTAGGTCCTGAAAATCATCTACAAGAAAAAGTTTTCAAAAATTGGAGTGTTAGCTAAAATCAAGTTTTCCTAATATATTAGAAGTGTTGAAGCTAAATGAATATATTTTATTTTTTTGTCTTCAATAGGGCAATTAAAAAGTGTGACCATGCACAGGATGTTGCATGTCCAAGTAAATAATCCACCACCATATATTGGGTGTTATAATAATCTGGGGTCACAATATTTAAAAAAAGTCCCATTAATTACTAACTGAAAATATTAGATTGTAACAGAATTGATTCCATAAATGATATATTAACTAACTCTCTAACTTGATAAAATGTAAAAAAACTGATTAATTTATATTGAAAATGGTTATGGTTGCTGACTTGACTTTTCTATACATTTAAAAAAAAAATTGCTAAAATAATACCGCCTGTACCATTATCATCACTTAAATAAACCTAAGTTTTTTTTAAATTGAAATCCAAAGAACAATCTTTAATAGACTAAACAATAATGCATATTTAAAATACTGTAAAAAAAACAAAATCTGCTAAACCTTGACTACATACAATTAGTAAAAACTAGATTTCATCCGTAAATACTAAATTGATAGGAAAGTGACCCCTGCGTTAATATATTATGTAAGTTAATGGGTAAAATTGCGGTTTTTGTATTTATAAAAATATATTAATTAATTAATTTATTTTTGTGCATATGCCTCTTTGCACAAACGTCGATTTTGTTCATCTCTCTAAAATCGATTTCTAGAAAATTTCTTGTGCACCTACTAATGGCAGATGAAAATTAAAGTGGTAATAAAGAAAATTTTCACGAGCAAATAATTTGAAACAAAACTTTGAATTATGTAGGGCAGAACTCAAAAAAGGTGGCAAGCAAATTTGCAAATTTTTTTGGTAATCTACTGGTAAACACAAATAGGTTTCTCTTTTTTTACAAAATTTTCATTTTTGTTTAAGTTACAATATTACGAAATTTCAAAAATGGAAAGTATTAGTATCAAATCCAAATTTAAATACCTAGGTATCAAAACTTAATTTTGTGAATAAAAAAAAGAAAAACATTTTATTGTATCTACCAGTTGATTATGAAAAGTATTTTTTACAGGATGTTCTAGTTTGAGTGAATTAAACTTTAAGAAGAGGAAGTACATTCTCAAAAAGAAAATATTGAGATTTTCCTTATAGCTGTTTTACATTGACAATTTATTGATCAATTAATTCATGAAATCGCTTCATCAAGAAATTGGACCAGTGTAATGCACCAAATCTGTTGTCAAATAACTTAATGAATTTATTCATCAAGTTCTTGACAAATTAGAGCATGTTTTAATTTTTGTCAATTTCTTCGTGAAGTTCAGAAGTACCAACCCAACAGATTTCCAGCCTCAGATCAGTAACGAGGTTATGTTATTGGAATATGTAAATAATTGTGTGGTGTCATACTAGTTTTGCATTGTTTTTACTGATTTGTTACTTACAAAAGCTAATATTTATATAATATGTGTCAGAACGGTACCACTGTTGTATCACTACAATTATGAGTGGGAATGTGACATTTTTGAAATTTATTTGCTTCTTTGATTCATTGGTAGAACTGATTCATACGTCAAAAAACTTGACAGTCTGCAGCAGTTATGGTTGCTTCTTTGATTCATTGGTAGAACTGATTCATACGTCAAAAAACTTGACAAGGTCTGTTGCAATGTAAAACCACACTGTTTACCAATAAATTCGTGAATTAATTCATGAAAACTTTGTCAATTTATTCATGAATAAATTGTCAATGTAAAACAGCTATTAGAGAATTTTTGACTTATTTGTACTCTTGATAAAGAACACGAACATATTCTCAGTGTGTACCAAGTTAATAAACCATGCTCCTGTGTTGCACCATTTTCCGTGTACAGGATCATATTGGTTCATTCTCGATACCTATTTTTTTTTGCTAAAATTTTATTAATGTATCAACAGATTTAAACCAAAAGTGGATGATGTGACTACATGAATAACTGCATAACTTGATACAATTTTAACATAAATATTTTTATGATAATGGGCACAGAAAAAGAGACACTTTTACTTTAATGTTTATACCACCGGGACAATATAATTTTAGTTTGATGTCTGATAAAATCACCCTTTTATTATTTGATTCGACCAAGCTGTAACACCTTGCATGTGCTTTCGTTATGGCTACACCTGCTTTAATTTTTTAATTCTCAAATTTCACCGAAATTTTGTTTCTCTAATTGGGCCTAGAACTCATATCTTAAAAAATAATTGTCCTAAGTTTTACTATTAAAATATGATCACTTTAATTTTCATCAGTTGTTGTGAAATATCCATGTATTGTTTTTTTATGTTCATGCACTTCATTATTTAATTTTTACCCGCTGATACTTGTCCTAAGAAATAGTTCAAAAGTAATAAAGAATTGCCTGACTTTTCCAGATTTTCTCCGACTTATAAAAATCCAAGTCACTTGTAGTTCATTTTTATATATTAATTGGTGTTTATGCATTAAACTTTTTTTCTACTGGATTCCATAATCTTTTTTTTTAAACCCATAGAACCTCTTATAAAGGTTTCAAAAACCGCAAATAGCTTTCTCTTTCAAGAACCCAGAGCCGGCTTTCACAAAATTTATAGTTGCAAACATCAAATTCCCTGACTTTCATGAATATTTTTAGATTTTCCTGACTATTCCCTGTTTTTTATGAAGAATAATGAATTCCCTGACTTTTTCCGGTATTCCCGGCTGCTACAAACCCTGGAATACCCGAGAATTTTTTTTAAATACAAATTTTTTTTAACAGAAATTTTTGTAAAATTTCCTTTAAGACCACACAAATTATGCATATTCAATTAATAAGTTTATTAACATTTTATAAAAACTAAATGAATTTTAATATTTAAAGTGAAAATACGCAAATTATTTTTCTATTGTATTTATGAAATACCTTTGCAGCAGTTGCTGATTTTGGCTGCTGAACATTTTGTGGTCGGAAAAGAAACTGGCGGTTCAAATTGGATTTTTCAATTAGATCCATGTCAGTAACTATAATTTTACCCTCTTGACTTCCTAACCCCATCATGGCAAAGTTCTTCAGCAATTCACATCCTATTGCGCCCGCTCCGACTACGAAGTACTTGAGTGCAGCTGAAAAACAGCATTAGTACATACATGTACGAGTGTAAAATAATACCAATTTACCAATTTTCTTCTGAAATTCTCTTCCAAATACAGCTATTTGGCCATCATAACGACTTCCAGTTGGAGCCGCCAGGTCCTCGGAAATTTCATTGCGGTCACTTGGCAAGCATTCTATAGCGTCAAAGTAAAGCCACTGATAAATCGGGTGGAATTTTCCAGAACAAGCTTTCATTACTTCCTGTGCTACAATACCGCCAATTGTTGCATTTATTGGATTTAAATCTCCACCAGAAGTTTTAGCAAATATTTCTAATAAATTAGAATTAATTTCATTGTCATTTGCTCCATTGACAGCTATAGATTTTGCAAGACTTGCAAATTCAACAGCATCATCATTGTTCCAAGGTTTTGGAACCCTACCGTTTTTATCAATGAACTTGTACAGTGCTGTAAAAGCTAGGTGAAGCTGTGGAGGGTGGTCAAACTTTGCATAGTCAGTAATTACAAATTCTGGATTTTTCAGCGACTCTTTGAAAGATTTGAAATTAAGTTCTTTAGACATTTTTACCTGAGACGCAATACCACCCCTTTCGTATACAGAAAAACTGCTGGTATTGCCGATACTAAAAGTATAGGGTCCCAATACTTTAATTTTTATCGGTTTGCAATTATTCAGTTCTGTCATGCCTTGTACTTCTGAAAATGTGACATAATCTCCATCTTCCATTCCATGTCTTGTATCGTCTATACATGTTACAATACCTTCTTTATCTCTTGATACATCTGCAATCATAGCAGATACAGTAGGTTCACCATTAGTGTCAAAAACTGTGAAGGAATCGCCAAAATCACAAAAAACTTGGGCAAATAGACCCCTTGTATCAGCAATAATTAACGCAATATTGTTTGAATGTGTTATTTCACTAATACGTAGTTGTTCTGATCTTGAACTGGCCGTAAGAACCACAACTCTGAATTTTTTAATAAAGTCTTCAGTAAGAGAACCAGCATATGATCTCGTTGGGACATAATTATTGAGTTCAGAAAGCTGCTTACAACAAGCTTCGGCTCTATTCTTGCCGATATCGGATTCAGAGAAATAGAACTGTGATGATAAATCCTTAATAGTGCATTTCTGTTCATCATGAAGAGTCACCGACTTCACACCACCTAGTATAACATTTTTTGCTATTTCCACTCCTAATCCACCTAGGCCCGATATAAGGACGTCACTAGTGGCCATTCTTCGCATAGCATCATGTCCCAAAACATAAAGTTGACGAGAATATAACCCTTCATCGATGTCACCGGCTTGAGATGATCCTGAAGCTTCATTGTTCGCCATTTCGGGGGTTGTAGTTTTCGAATCAAGCTTCCGCTTTTTGGCTGGGGGATCGACGGAGCTGTCTACGATTTCAGCACTAGACATCGGACACAAAAGAACAGTTTAATAAGACTGTTTTTTATTTATATCACTTTATAAAATTCATATATTCACTATTTAATAGCCGGTAAAGAATAAAACAGATAGAAATGCCAAGTGAACGAACAAAGAACTGTAAAGCGCAAGCTTTCCTGCGCAAGGTGATTAATGTCGGGTTTCATCTAGTACCAACGTTATTTCTGAAAGAAACTACATAATTTCGAAATATATACCAATCCTTTTCATTTCACCTACACAATTTACAAAGTAAAAACAGTAAAAACAAACCGACTTCTTAAGTTTGAAGTTCTAAGCTGTAAAATTGACAATAATTTTGACACATATCAGAGACAACTGGTTGTCTCTGCGTCTGCACATACGGAATTTTATATTCGAGTAAGTAGGAGGTAGGTTGTACGCAGTTTACATCAAGGAAGGTCTCTTCTCTGATGCACAGTGACTAGCACAAAATTCAAGGTGGCTCAAAAGCTTCTAGAAGATTTATGTATCATTTTTGTTCATATTTCGAAACTACCTAGGTACTTGGAAGTTTTGCCATAGAAACTCATTCTGGCAAAAAATGAAATAAACTTGTGAAACTTATTTTTAAAATCATTTGCGAGCATATAGAGAACATATCGACCAATCGACCCATGGAGACTACCGACCGATCGACCACATTTTATTGGAAAAAAATGCCCCGCCTAGATGACTACACGTAATTTAATTAGGCGTGTTCGACACTAGGGTTTTGTGACTGACTTGTCAGGGTCACACAGCAAAAACTATACCTATCGGTAGGCCACGCGCGGTCTCAAAATTCTGATATTGTACAGGTATCCTGTATCAAGTTGCTGTAGCAAAACGATGCCTGTTATGGAACATACACTAGAAATAGGAACTATGAATGAAGTTCAAAATGAAAGACATGGGCGTAGCTACAGCTTTCTCATAGGAGGGTTCAAGGGTCCAAAAATGTACAAAAATAAATTAGTTTTTGCCTGGACTTCAGGCAGAATAAGGCAGAATTCTAAACGCCAAGAGGTATGCTAAGGGAGGGGGAGGGGGGGAGGTCCTGACCCCTAAATCTCCCCACATATACGCCCATGTTAAGATATACTGTATTTCGGCACTAATATAAAAAAACTTCTTTAGTGCGCAACTATCTGTGAAATCCGTTCGAAAATACAAAGTTCCTAAAAAATGTTAACAGCGGTTAAATTCAACTTTTAAGTCATCTGGTATAAAAAAGAGTGACTAGCTGGTCACGCTGGTTACTATTGACTTGCCAATTCGTGTGCGCAGACTGCAGAGACAATAATTCTAGAACTCTATTACGTCATGTGTTTAGTTAGAAGTGTGTATTTAGATTTGATCTCAATATGACAACATATGTATTACTTATCATATCATCAATCTTATATGTACTACATTCGACGTCGCTTATTTCAAAATAGGTACAGCGATTGTTTTATGTTAGGGTACTAAGAGCTTACATCCGTGAATTTATACTAAAGTATAAATAAAATTTTCGTAGTACCTATAAGGAAAGGAATTGTAACTTTGGACTAACGACACTAATACCACGACAAGTACACATGCGCTAAAGTCTGTTATTTTAAATTTTTCAAGATTAGGTTAATATTGAATGTTTACAAAACAAGTAAAAATATCGAGATTGATTACTGTTAGGTAAAGTTACTGGCTAATATATTTTTATAGACTCATCTTAATATATCTTAACTTAACGTTCATTGGACAATTAATAAACTAAAGTCTCTTGAATAAGAAATATATGTGCGTAAATAATCTCGTAAAATTTTTGACATGATTTAATAAATCACTTAAATGACTTAACAGTCTTCATTAAAAGCACTAACGGTCAGTTTCAATGAAGTTTGACTACGATTTAATTAAATTCAGTTTGGTGCTACGGTATGAGATATTTGATTATTGATTGCCTGTTGCTAAGAGATTTAGTTAAATTCAGTTTAAGGCTGGATCCACATGCATGCGTGATGACGGATCCGTTGTAACCACGTCCACGTGACCAGTCCAGTTTGATCTTGAAGGAGTCAAGTCGCTTTACTGATGCACAATGGGATGTTGATGGTCACGTGGTTACAACGGATCCATGATCACGCATGCATGTGGATCCAGGCAAAGTTTTTAAGTTTCCTTTAATAAACCGAATGTAAAAGATATGCCAAAAAGGATAGGTAAGTATAACCGATCGATCTTATTTTTTCCATGATTAAATGTTATGTACGAAAGGTCTAAAAAAATAAATTACATAGACATTTTTAATTTTCTAAGGATAATTAAGACAGTTTAGCTTCTAAAAAAATTATGAAGAGATAAAATTGGGTGTAAAATGCGTCTAGGTATATAATTTCCGTATAAATTTTCAGTGAATTAAATCAGCATATTTAATAAAAAAATCGGTGTCAAACTGTATCTCGAAAATTAGTAGCTTTAAGGTAGCAGTAATAAAACTTTACACTTTTCGTTTTCTGCGTTATGGAATCATTTTTGTTCTGTTTATACCGAGTTGTACATGGAAAATCGTAGAAACGATATAAAAAACCAACTTAATCTATTTTTCTGAAACTAGGTATAAACAAAACGAAAACGTTTTCGCTTTCCTGCAAGAAATTGAAATTTAATCCACTTTATTCCCTAATGCTTTTTAAATTTTGCATCACTAATAGAATTCCATAACGGAGAAAACGAAACACGAAAAGTTTTGTTGGGAACCTACCTTTAGTTTCTTGGTTCGTTATTAAAGCTCTTGATCCAGTGAACAAGTAGGTAGGGTAGGGTATGTCTATGAAACGTGGGGGTAGATACAGGTCAATAAAGACTTGCGTAATTTTGAACGTAATTAAATATGTCTACAATGACTGTGTTTTATTTGTCAGAGATTTTAGTTAATCATCTCAGTTATTCTGAATTCTAATTGGCCAATTAAGTGAGATTAACTGAGATCTTAAGTAAATAAAACACAGCTAACTAATAATTTAATGTAAAATTTTAAAATTTATATTTAAATTTTCCGGTGACCTGATTGATTTTTACATCAGGAAAACAATTAAATTTTGATTAATAAACTTAAAAATACTACCTGCGTGTTACACTTTCTTTACATGTAGCAACCTTGTTTTGTTCTATCGAAAAACGCATTTGATTTCGATTTTCGTTATTTACAACATATTAGATTGCTTGTCAACGATATGAGCCACATAATTATAAGAAAATATGAAATTTTGTTTGTGGTTTTCCATTAATTAACTGTTGTGACGAAAAATAAAATAAAATACACTACTGTCGTCGTTGTATTTAAATAAAAACCAACAAAATCTACCTGTTATAATAATGAATATTTTATCCGAAATAAAATCTAGCTTGTGTTCTGTTACACTCAACTTTTCACTATTACTAATAAATAAATGACTCATTTTCTCTAGAACGATTACGGTAGACAATTAATAGTAGTAAACAAAATATGAGAGTTCTACTTTATCACAATCAGTAGATATCAGGTTACTTGTTATATGCTGCAATGCTGATCTTTTTGATAAACATATTTACAGAGTGAAATACTCAACGTGTCAAAAATGAAGGGAGCGTTTTGCTAGGCAATTTAGAAATATATTTTACAAAATGTATTCAAAATGGTGTTCCTGTGCCTGAATAGATTTTTTGACACGTCTTCTCGCACATCCTTTAGGTACTGTTATATTCTGATGAATCTCCTACCATTTTTTTGAAAATTTTCAATAATCTATATCTCAAAAACTAGGTCTTTGAGGGTAATGTATATATATTATTAAATTTATGGCGTGGAAAACGTTCCTCAATTTTGAGATTGCGTGCACTTCAAAAATCACTAAAAAATATTTATTCATTTCAAAATTTGGACGATTTTATTTTTGACACGTTATAGTGTTGCACTCTGTAAGTCTAATCAGACTTAAATAAAAGTCAATTTAAAATATATTTCATTTTTATTTGAATTTAAAACATTTTACATATATCTGATTTCTACAAAATTTAACTAATTATTAGATTATCAAAAAACCAACACGTTTCTTTAAACTTTATGCAGATATTCTTAATTTAGATCTTCGTCCTCTGTTAACGATATAACACTACCGAAAACTTCGGGATTTGTACTATTTTCTCCTTGCCCACTTTGCCCATTTTCTGGTAGCTGTTGAGCGACAGAGAATCGTCTTTGGGATGACTTTATGTTGGAGGATGAATCATTTCTAATAAACAAATATTATTGAGTAGGTATAGAACACATAACAAACTAATTTTACTTTTATATTAAAAAATTGTATCTAATAGCACTAATAATATGTACAGTCGATGCAAGATAAAGGTTTCCAATCTGAATCGTATTTTGTTTGAAATATGACGGCTTAACCGCTTGTCTATATGGGACGTTCCCATTAGACTCGCGTGACAATATTTTCTTATAAGTTTTAACGTGACAGGTGTCAATTTTGTAGGCAGAAACTCGTTATTAGTTAGAGATTTCAGAGTGATTTATTAGTAATTTGGATAGTGATTAATTAAATAGCGATTAGTTGAGTTGTATTTAGTGATTCTGTAGTGTACAGAGTAGTAAGTGTAAATAGTTAAAGAAATGGCTCAACTCTCCCCTCGTCGCAGAAGTCGGGTGATTGCAATGCTGGAAAATGGTTGGTCAGCAAGAGGTGTTGCCAGAGAACTTCATGTGAGTCACACATGTATAAATAAACTCCATCGTAAATGGGAAATTGAGCTGTCAGTTGATCGTCGATCAGGAACAGGAATCAACAGAAAAACTACCGAAGATCAAGACAGAGCATTGGTAGCATACGTGCGAGAAAATCAATTTACAGATATGCACCACGCAATAGAGGCAACGGGCTTCCCCGGTTGTAAAAATACAGCTACAGCAAGATTAAAAGAACAAGGACTTTTTAATTATACGGCTCCTAGTAAAGAACTTTTAACATAGTCCAATTAACTAAGCCTTTAAATCGAAATTTTGTCAACTTGGCTGAATATTTGATATGAGTTAGTTTAAGGTATATTATAACAATAAGTGAGAGTAATTTTTTGTTCAACCCCCGGCCATGGGTGGAAAAAGATAAAACAAAGGGCTTTTTCAAGATAACTCAAAAAGGGTAAGAGCTAGAAAAAAAAGTTTTTCATGAAAGTTGTAAAGCAGACAATTCTACATAAAAATGGCCTCTTAACTTTTTCTTGTACTATTACAATTAACAGAGTTAGGGAGGCTAGAAGTTAAGGGAAGATTTCAGAAATTTAAAAAAAATCATAACAAACAGAAAAATGATTGAATTTTGTAATTTTTTTTTT